CCCCATCATCATCTTGGAGTGAATCGATAGTCGTCCCCATCTTCAAAATGGGCATGCGCACTATCTGCTCCAACTACAGAGGCATAATCTTAGTCCCCGTCGTTTGCCAGCTGCTGGTATCCATCATACTTCGCAGGTTATCCGCAACGCGCCAATCGTTGCAGCGAGCAGAACAAGCTGGGTTTCCTCTCGGTCACGGCTGCATCGATCAAATCTTCACACTCCGCCAGATCCTCGAGCTCCGCCAAGTGTATCAGAGGCCAACGATTGCTGTGTTCTTGGATATCCGTGCAGCTTTCGATTCTGTCGATCGTACGGTACTGTGGCACTGCCTACTGAGGAATGGTGTCCCCGAGAAGTTCCTCTCCATACTGCGCGCCCTCTATAGTCTCACATCGGGCAGGGTTAAGGCTTACGGCAAGATTTGCCTACCTTTGTGATCTCCAGGGGAGTTCGACAAGGATGCCCTATCTCTCCGTTCCTATTCAACTTTGCCATTGAGGATGTCCTGAAGAACGCTCTGGGCGATTCCTTGAACGCTGGCGTTGAGCTCCTCCCAGGTAGTCGAGTTGGATTATGCTGATGATATCGTCTTGCTGCGTGACGATCCACACGTCCTCCAACTTGCACTAAACCGCTTGGCGATTGAAGCATCAAAGTATGGTATGTAGTTTTCGCCATCCAAATGCAAACCTCCCTTTCAAGACTGGCAGGTGCCTCTACCAGCACTCAATCTTGGTGGTGAGACACTAGAGGTTGTGGAGAGCTTTGTCTACTTGGGAAGTTGCATCACTGCTGACGGGGCTGTTGGAGAAGAGATTTCGATGCGCATCTCGAAAGCACGCCCCGCTTTTTCTAGGCTGAAGCACTTGTGGCGTCGCCACCACATTCGTTTCTCCATCAAAGGGCGGGTCTATTGTGCAACTGTTCGTGCTGTACTGTTGTACGGATGCGAGACCTGGCCCATTCGTAAAGATGACTTGCGCAGGCTATCCGTCTTCGAGCACCGCTGTCTGCGGTCCATTGACCGTGGGTGGTGGCAGCACCACGTAAGCAATGTGGAAGTTAGACAGCGTGCCTTGGGACGTGGAAGCCACTCGCTCGAAGAGCTTGTATCACTGCATCAAGTTCGGTGGTTGGGACACGTATTGCGCATGCCTGTCCAGCGTTACCCGCGTTGTGCGTTGTTTGCGGTTGCTGAACAGGGCTGGAAGAGACGGTCTGGTGGACAGCCTACAACATGGAGAAGCCGCATGAAAAAGCTGGCGAAACAGTTGGCCTCAGCCGGTTGTTGTCGACTACCTGGTTGGGGTCCGAGAGATGCGGATACATGCTGGTTGAAGACCTTGGAAGTTATGGCTCAAGATCGATGTCAATGGCGGACGTTTGCATCGGTTTGTTACGATGTCCCTTCTTCCTCCCACTAGAAAAAGAACAAACTGAAAAAATTGCAAAAACTGTGAGTGGTAAACTAGACAAAAAAAGCTTTGGTTGTTGTTGCTCTTTTCTTATTACTCATACTGTTTTCTTATTCAGCCATGATTCTGATGGCACAATATCTGTACCACAGATTGTGTATTTTATATATATATATATATATATATATATATATATATATATATATATCGTCTGACCCCTAACCATTGACCCGTTTATGAGTGGCTCTGTAGGCACATGAAAAATACTAGTCAGCATAGCTCAATGGGTCACGGGGGTACGCAAACCATTGCACCACGCTAAGGTCCGTGGTGGCGTCTTGCCCTAATCTTGTATTCTCTGTGTGGGAGACTCGTGAGCGCCCACCGAAGCGAAGGTGGCCCATGTGAGCAGTTGTGGTACTCCATCCACCTCAGGTGCGAAAAGCTGTTCATGAGTGCATTCCATCGCAGTCCGCTGGGTCGTTGTTTGGATTGGCTGTTGCATCTCCGAGACCACATGAGTCGCCGCCATTTTCTACTCGTAGACGATTTCAGTTGTCCTCGAATACGTTAGCCTGAGGTTGAACTTGTCACTGGATATTGTGAGGTTGAAGCAAAGGTCACTGATATGGTACGTGAAATCGGGGCTGCACTACACATCTGATAACCGAGGCGCATAAAAAATCGTGCTCAATTCCAGAGGTGAACAACCTCTATATGACATTCGGATCCTGGAGCCTCTGGCAGCAAGCGACCACTCAGTTGTTATTGCCAACATGGAGCCGAGGCTACAGCAATCCCACGCACTGCAGCCAGATTACAACTACTGGAAGACGGGTTTCGACGGCCAGACTCGAGCTGCAAGTCAAGTGGAGTAGTCTCTGCCGCCATCTGCATTTGCTGAAGCTTGCTGGTCAGTTATAAAGGACGGCGTCAACTCATTATGTAACCGGTTTGTATGTCTCAAGTTTCGGAAAGTTGGACAAGTCAGGCCACATTGGTTCCACAAGGAATATGGGAAACTGATTCGGCGGCGACCCAGACTGCGGGACAAAGTTCTTATCTGTGACTCGGTCGAAGACTATGAAGTGTATAAAAGGCAGCGAAACATTTACAGCAGTGTGAACGAGTGAGCGCCAGTATTTCTAATAACAGCTTGCAACCGCCACATAGAATACCCCAAAGAGAATCTTTGAACACGTGAAGCTGCGCCTGAAGCCTGTAGGTGACCTGCGAATGATAAGTGGCTTGGACGGGCAGCCTCTAACTTCCAGTCCTGAGCGTGCATGCGCATTGGCTATGTAGTTTGCTCTTGTGCTTAAAAATGACCAGGTATCTATACCGAGTTCGAAGTGCACCGCCCTTACCGAGCTCGACAACTTGAATTGTGGTGTAGGAGAGATACATCAATTACTGGCCAACCTTGACGGCACCGAACCTGCTGGGTATGCTGGACTCCACTCTCTGATTTTCAAGTCTCTATCGGCCATCAACTCGCCTGCCGTGACTTGCCTGTTCAACAGGTCGATGTCTGTAGGTTAGTCACCGACTTAATGGAAATGATCGGTGGTAAAGCCGATTCCAAAAGGTAGACGATTACAGGTCAATTTGGTTGACAACTATTTTGGCCAAGGTTGCAGAGAATGTGAAAAAGTTTGCCTTAGCTCTTCCGGTCAAAAAATCTCCTGATGACCGCATAGCACGGTTTCATGCCAGATTGCTCATGCATTATCAATGTGCTTGAGACGAGGCATGAATGGTTGAAAGCAGTGAACCAGGGGAAGTCTGTCGATATGATCTAGTTCGATTACAGCAAAGATTTCGGCAGGGTAAACTATGAGATTCGGCTTCACAAGCTGAGGGTATGCGGTTTCCGTGGCACATAGCACGAGTGGATCTGGATTTTTCGTTGGACGAAAGTAGAGGGTACAGGTCGACGGTCATTTAGCTGACTGTTATCCCTCTCCTAGTGGTGTACACCAAGACACATGGCTGGGGCATACTCTGATCCTAATCTACATCAACGATTTACATCAGCTTCTCTGGTCCCCATGTGTTGTGTGCGGATTACCTAAGAGATTCGGAGAGTGATTAGCACGCCCGATGACTGAAGCCTAGTTTAGCAAGAACTCAATCACCTCTCCATGTGGTCTGCAGAAACCTGCCTATCGGTCAACCCATTCAAATTGATATTCTGGTCAAGGGTTATGACGCCCGAAGCTACAATGTTGACGGCCAACTGCTACATCCCACATCCTCTGTGAAGAACCTGGGGATACTCAGGTTGTGATTTGAAGGCTGTGAACAACACGAACAGACTATATTGTTACGGACTGCACATGCTTATGACGCTCGAATGCAGCTTCTACATTTGGTTTGAATTGGTTGCCACTAGCCTCTTCCCTCCCATCATAAGAGAAGTGCTAGAATACGGCTTGTCCGTCTATTTCCCGACCACTCGAGGTGAGGCACAGAATATGGAACGGGTACACGTCACTACCAAGCTCATCTCCAGTTTGCTGGGCTTACCGTACGAAAACAAATGCAAGAGGCTGGGACTATACACCTTGGCATAACGTCGGTTTCGAGTCGATCACATCATGACCTACCGCAATCTACATCTAAGCGATTTCCCCATACTGAGACTAAGGTTCCACTTGCGAACAGCTTGCGACACACGCGGACACCAGTACAAGCTTGTGGTTCCAGATCTGAAGCGAGTTCCCCTTCCCTTATGCTCTGAGTGGATAGTGGTAAGTAGAGGGAACGGTTTCCCGGAACGTATAGTGGAAGTGAACTCAGTGCAACAGTTTCAAACGATCGTTGGATTTACATCTGAAATGTTGGATTCCGAGAACGAGTACAGACAGACGACACATATTTTTGAGTCCTAATCTACTGTGAGCTAAGCGATTTTTTAACGATATCACGTGAGAATGTGGAAAACAAGCGGAGTATTGACAATTCATAGCCTATTTTTTCTTAACGTTTTTGAGCATATTTCGATGGAGTTGTGCAGATTCAAATTTTGACTTGCTCCCACATTACAGTATGCAGTAATTTTGCCAGTGGTTACACTGGTAGAACCAGCACTCCTGAGGAAACAGACGGAGCACAGATTAACCCTGAAGCCCTGCAGACTCTCGCAATGCTCCGAGAGTGGTGGTTGCAAAGAGAACGTAGACAGGAAGCAGCACGGTGAAATCCGCAAAGATGAGCGGACCCGATTAAATAAACTAATGGCTGTACTTATGCTTTAAAAATACTGATCCTTGAATTATTGAAGAGTAGGAATGTGGGTCGATGAAAGGGTGTAGTGACGAATGCAAAAAACAGAAATGTGCACTGATGGCATAAAATGTTCGCGCTGTAGCGACGCAATCCAATAAACAAAACTGCATCAGCGCGCAAGTTGGCCCAATCACTGCATACGGAGTGGTCCACCAAAAAAGAATCTGCTCAGGTTTGTAGAAACCGTTACGATTGTTGAGACCGAAAAATAACCTAATTTAAAAGAAGTAAACAATCAGGCAAAAGTGTGCCCAGAATTTAAAACGAATGACAGGAAATGAAATAGACTACCTTGGGCCTATCTCCTCCAGAAGTAAGCGCTTTAGTCCCGGAAACTGGTTGATGGTTGGGAGTACTGCGCTGTGGGACGGGGAATGTGGGATGCGCGGACGGATCAGTAGTCTGGGGGAAAGAATCCGGAACCAGAGTAGGCAGGGTCTCTGAAGGTGGATGAACGCAAAGTGGTTGCTGTGTCCTCCGTTGATTGTGCGTTCCACCGGGGTAGGAGGCTTGTGTAGGTATCGGGTGGGGTAGGAGGCTATTTCCTATACTGGAATGGAAAGAGGTTGGATGAAAGACTTGGGATACGGCGTAGGTGTGCTGAAGATGTGATTGTGGGTGTCGTGGAACGCCCCGTCGCTGTTCCAACTCTACCTCAGCCTCTTCTAGTCGCTGAGTGAGGCTTAATTTCTGCTGTATCGCAAGGCGCAAAAGCGAATTGAGAGTTCGTTTTTCTTCCTCAGCGTGCTGAAATAGAAAGAAACAGGTAATTGAGGGAGGTTAGGATGCAGTAACAACTATGGTTCTCTTCAGAAAACTACATGGTCAGCTTGTCTGCACTGTAATATGCGCTGCAGTATGAAAAGTCCAAAGTAAGATGAGAAGAGAATAATCTAAGTGAAAGTCGTTCATTCTGGGAAACAATACTTGCACGGACTACAAATTGCATCCAGTGCACTCGAAGACTGCGGATCTCGGTTTACAATGCGCGAGTGTCTGAAGCTATCGTTAAAGAACGTAAAATATAGTAGATGGTAGGTCGGTAAAGTGCACTGACACAACCTCCGCGTCGACCACAAATGATGAGGAAAAGACTCAGTCTGTCGGCCGAGCACAACCTGAAATGCAGTGATTAACGACATATGGTTACTAGTATCAAGTAAAGCCGATAAATGGAGCAATAATGCGAAGTTCAGTCTACCGATCCGGTGGTAGTGGAGAGTTAATTTCTGTAGAGTTCATCGAGCACTAGGTTTGTGCATAGAACAAGCTGCTGCAACTAATACGATTTATCGCGGAGGCCAAGATGCACAACTGGGTAGTTGACAAATTTCTTAGTGTGAGTACAGCAACGGATCTGTTCCAAAGCTTTCGATAAATGAAGTGTTTACGCATGAACATAAAAGCAGGTTACGCACAGTGCAGTCCACAGGTGCCGAACATTTCAAGTAGCCAGGACGGAACAAGTACGCATTCTAGTGTCAACTCGTGCCTCATGTTCACCAAATGCCTGCTGATGCGTATTGCTGTAGGTGTCCCGTATTGTCGTTTTGACATTTCGGCCCCTTTGCCGAGGAATCACATAAAAGGTGCCTAGGTGTAGAAGTTTCATGACCTGTATCGAGGCAGAAACCAAATGGTGAATAGTATCCAAAACCGCATTCCATACCTCTCACTCTTGTTTGCCTGTCGCTCCCCAAACTTGCATCGAAGTCTCCACGTGCACACTAACGCCGAAAAGGAATCAATCAATCAACAACAACAGTACATCAACCACTTGAACTAATGCTTCGCTTCCATACAACCATAACAACCAACAGAACGAAGAAAAGTAAGGGGAGGAAGAGGGACTTACCTGAACACCTTAATGCAATAAGCAAACAAGCAGGATCAAGGCGCCTACAACTTGTGTTAACAACATACTGTCACAAAGAGTTGACTATCGTGCAATGATAAGGAGGCATCAGCGAGACAGTTTCCTTGTAACTTCCACTGTCTCGCGTCATAAACAGCCATTACCCAGCAGATAGCTCAACACCAAACACAGTTTAAACAGGCAATCCGATTAGGAGACGACGGCTGACGTGCCACTGCTGTCGGTTGCGAGCCAGGTCCTGTAAAGTTTTGAGCCAAGCACTAGGCGAGTCACGTGGACCCCAGCCCCAAAGACGAGACGGACCAACGGCACCCAGTTTGGTCCTCAGTGACCTCATTTCCCCTGCCAAAAGTCAACTTCTATCCAACTCGAGTCTTGCGCCAGCCTACACCTGGCAGGTTAAACAAGGCCCTCCTAGGTAAGCGGTGACCAGGTATCCGTAGCACGTGTCCGAGAAAACGCAACTTATTCAGTGCTACCTGTTGTTCTAAGGAGTTAGCATAATTACCTAGGACTCGCCTACGCACATCATCGTTGTGGACACGCCGGTGCCATCCTACACCAGCAATGCTTGGCAGACAACGATGATTAAATACTTGAAGGCGCCTCAGATCTTCAGACCGAAAATTCCAAGTTTCACTACCATAGAGCAGGACGGCCCTCACTGTAGCCACGTATACACGACATTTATGACAGACTTAAAGACCATTATGTCTCCAAAGATGCCGCAGCTTCAAGAAGGCAGTGCTGGCTTTTGCAATAAGTGAACTGACTTCAGTTTCTTTGGGCCCATCGTTGCTGATGCAGCTGGTAAGATAAGTAAATCGATCAAGCAGCCCGAGTTCCTCGTTAGCAAGGCTCAAGGGGTTATAAAGTGGCTGGTGGTCCTGCAGCAACACTTTGCCCTTTGAAGGTGTGAAGCCCGTACCAAATAATGAGAACACACTAGAGGCTATTCAGGGTTGATTGTGCCGCCCCAACCTCGTCGAAAAGCAAGAGGATATGGTCGGCATAATCAAGATCGACTAACCTTTCACCAGGCAGGACCTCAACGCCTACATCGTAAGATTCTGGTAGGGAACACGCCATGATAGAGTTCACGACGAAGTTGAACAAAAACGGGGTAATCGGACAACCCTGACGAACGCCAATTGTGATCGGAAAGCTACCCGATAGGTCACCGTAGACCCTGACGCGGCCTGTAGTGTTCGAGTATGGAGCACATTGGATGTTCACGTATTTCGTGTGAACACCTTTCCACACAAGTATTTCGAAAAGAATGCATCGAGGGACTGAATCGAACACATGCCTGAAGTCAAAGAACACAGCTATTACCGGTCTGCGGTATGCGTGACGCCGCTCTAACAACTGCCGCATAGTGAGTATATGGTCTATGCAGCCACGTCCTGCGCGGAAACCGGCTTGCTCTTCCCTACTTCGAGATTCCCGTTCCACAGTGAGGCGACGAGCGCGAATCGAGGCCAGTAATTTTATTACAACTAGCGTTAGGCTAATACCTTTGTGTTTATCTCAACCTGTGCGACTGTTTTACTTGTATATTGCCACCACAATCGATCCACTCCAGTTAGCCTGGACACTTTTCCTTCCAGACATGTTCAAATACGGAGGTCAGTGCTTTGCAGAGAACCTCACCTCCATCCTTAAATAGTGCAGGTGAGAGGGAATCCGGGTCAGCGGCATGAAAACGATGGGGGGCTGTGATCGCATTTCGGACCTCGGCCTCCGACGGAGGCTCTAAACTTATCGTCACGGCTCGTCCTGCATCACCTGAGTAGGAAGAGGTCCGGGAACAGGGGGCCAGCTGAGCTGATGTTGAAAGTATTCCGTCCAACGAACTATCCGGCGCGCCTTATTGTATATCACTGCATCCGCGCTGTCTCTGTTTGTCTCACTGACGCCTGGTTTCCTGGGACCAGGGGTGGGGATCAGCTGAAAGAGCTTGCGGTAATTGCTTACTGCTCTTGCCTCCTCCATATCTTGAGCCCGACTGGTACACCAGGCGTCTTCGTCATCACGTAAGCTTCGCTTTAGTTCGCGCCTAATAGTCCGTCTGGTCACATTGTGCTCAGAGCCAGTCGGGAGGTTTCTTCTGGATTCCAACAGCTTCACCGACCTCTCGGATATCCAGGGACTGAGGAAGTGACTATTGATAGTGCCACAAGCAGAGACTCCTGCGTCATGCAAGGCGGCCGAGATTCTATCCCACTGAAGCTCGGTGTCATTAGGACAAGACGGCGAAAGTGCGATACGCAGCGCGTCTTGATAGGCTTGCCTGCCCGAGGGTTGAGACATTTTCTCCGTGGCCAATCGGAGGAGATGCTTGGTGCTCCTCCAGATAAAGTTCATGGAGAAATGACAACGTACCAAGGCATGATCAGAGTCGACGCAGGTATTCCAGTACGAGCGGCAATCCAGGATGGAACCAGGCCACCTGTAACTTACGGCAATGTGGTTAATTTGGATCCATCGCTGGCCAGCTACAGGAGGAGGCCAAGTGGTCCTTTAGCGCCCATTATTTCTAAAAGTAGTGCTATTAAGTAACAACTGGTTCTCCGCACACAGTTTCACCAGACGCTCGCCGTTGTTAGTCCGTTCAAAGTTAAGCCCATAATTACCACCCAGCTGGGCTTCTGAAGAGCTCAGACGCCCTACTTGTGCGTTAATATCCCCAGCAAGTACTATAATATCTGAACTAGTAGCACTGCGTAGTAGCGCGTTCAGTTCGTGATAGAATGTGTCACTGACAGCATTAGAACTGCAGTCGGTGAGAGCATAAGCGGAAATCACAAACAGCGATTTGTACTCCTTCGTAAATCAACCTTAGCTGGTGTCGTCAAACGGGCTGCACATAAACGGCTGTTCATCGGAATCCAATCGATCAACGATGGCTCAGTCTTGGAGCTTAGAATGATACCTACACCAGCTTGACCCGTGAGTGCTGCATCAGGGTCTCCAGATGTGTGCAATTAATAATGAGGAGATAAGCCGGGCGCAGTTAATTCAACAATCTCATTAAGGTCATTGATGCTAGGTTCGGACACATAACACACATCAATACGCAGTATGTCCAAGGTGCGTGCGAGTGCATCCTGTTGATCTAATTGTCTCAGAGTGCGAACGTTGAACGCCGCCAGGGAAACGGGACAACGTGGTCTTATAAGGGACTATTGCTGATAGGCGTCCGGTGGGTGTTTTGGGAAGGTGACTGCAGATGTTTCTACTCCAGTGGCACTTCGGTTGCTGTCAATTAACCCGGGAATTATAGTAGAAAGGTTAGTAATGGGGGTACGGATGGGAGTAAGCGAAACAGGTGGAAAAGAAGAATGGAGATGTCAGCAGTGGCATATTTTCGCTTACCTGCCCTGCCGTATGCAGTAGATAAGGTGACCCTTGATAATCTGCATGACGGCTGATGCAAAATGAAGTTTATGTTGGAAGAAAAAGTCGTGGTTGTATGTGGGCTGAGATACTGCCAGGGCGCCCAGATCTAGACAGGAGGACGATTAGGGTCCTCAACCAAAGCCTTTGGCTCAAAAGCCTATCCACAAGGCAGCGGGGAGGTGGCAATGATTTAGTTTTACAGAAATGAACGCCATCGCATTTCAAACCCCTAACATGGAGGACCAGGAGACTCAGTTTGTCTGACCAACTTCGTAGGAATAGCTCTTAAGCAGCCAGGAGGCACCAACCAGTAAAATGGAATATATATATATATATATATATATATATATATATATATATTGCGCCTGAGATTATTCAGAAATGTCTGCCGTATGAATTCGACAGGAATACCGAAACACCTGCTAAATGACCAACTTAGTTGAGAGAACAGGACCGTGGGCAAACCGAAGCAACGTTGTAGGACATGATCAAGGTGAGTTCATCATGAACTAATGTTGGCTTTACGTTTTGGGAAGTAATAGCAGTGGATCGCCGAGAATAGCGTGGCCAAATGAAGAATTAGTTCACCCAAGTGAACTGGAAAGGGCTTGCAGGAGCGAAACGCCGGTTACGGAAGCGACAGATGTCGATGGAATGTAGCCCGTCGACGTCAGGCCCATGGTACTGCAGCACATGCAATCGCGAATGCCCCGTCAAAACGGTCTGGTAGGCCATCAAGGTGGCCGAGGGGCTAATATCGAAGAGACGACGGAGGCGTTAACTCGGTAAGTGACAATAGTTGGTTAGTATCCTGTTTCCGATTTTATTTACTAACCCAGGCCAATAATGCGGTCGATGGGGTATGTGGGCTACATAATCGCTGCAGTTTATCTGTACGTGCGCCTGCGTGTATTTTCTTGCATTTATGTGTTTGGTGATTGGTGTGGTTGTGCTTGATAGTGCCTACCTGTCGAAAATCGCCGCCTCGATTGTACTGGCTGCAGGAGACAGCTGGTAGGGTTTTTTTTGGGGGGGGAGACGGTGTGCACGGTCCTCGTGGCCGCGCTAGGCTCAAAGAGGGTTCCATCCAATGTGGAGTGGACTACGGCCCAGCCACCGCCTTGTGTACGTTCGGTACGCATGATTCCCCCTATACAGCGTGCTTGTGTTTGCTTGTGAAGAAGTGTGGGCCGGAACCGTTGAAGAAACGTGGCTCCCATCTACATGCCTCCCGGTCTTATTCCTTCGGGTTTACACTGGATATGGGGTGTGTGGTTGGAGCTGTGGGTGGTGCAGCGCAAGCCACCCATGGCCTCTCTGTAGGCACAGGCGTCCTGTGGTTATTTCCGGTCACAGTAATTAGCAACTACGGAAACGCATACCACTTACCATGAGTTCGCAAGTTTCTCGGAACATGCGTATGTAAACAGCGGTACAGATGAAACCCAAAGTCTAATTCCACAACGGAGAAACTGAATGTCTATTTAAGAATGGGCTTTATGCGCCCATGAAGAGTGAATTTTCAGAATGGAGGTCAAAGAGCTCCAAGCTGAAAATACCTAGGACAGCTTTACTTATAGCTGAAAGCTTTGGTGAGTCGACAGACTGGGCCCCGAGATTATGGATGAAGAGTAAGCAACGATATTCGACCAATGCTAATGCGGTTGACGACACCGAACAGCGGCACACGTGCATTCAGATGTTTGTCAGCTTTTGAGCACGATGATTCAAACGTTAGTAATGAAAGTTCTTGTATGCACCCTATTTTCAATTGAATTCTATCCACCGCCGACGTGCCCCAATTAAAACGGTGACCATTCTAGGTATCTGGACCCACCGTATGTTGGAAGGTGGAGCACAGCCGAGGAACCAACGAAGACAGTCAAGCAATAACGTAGTGGTAAACACGGTAGATTGATTAGGGACACAGGTTACAGGATCAGCTCATCAATGGAACCGGATGTATAATTCAGGTGAGGAATGCCAAGCAAAAAGTATGCATACAGACGGCATTGGTTACCAAGTGTTCTCAAAAGCATGTGATGGAAATAGCAACATCAAATAAGAGACATCAAGTTTTAATACAAGAGGAAAGAAAGAATTAGAAAAATGCACGAAACCTACATTCAGCTTGCGTTGAAGTTCGTCCATCTGAGTGATGTACTCATCGTACCGTTGAGCGAACATAGCCCGAAGGGACGCATATGTCGCAGCATCTTCCTTTAATGTCTTCAACTCATTCCTCAGTCTTTGCATGGTGTCACTCACGGTAATTTTTTCATTTTCGTATTTTTGTTTCAAATTGGCCAAAGCAGTTTCTGCTGTCGTCTTGTTTGCGCGGAGCATGTTGCGCAACGTCACCACCTGTTCGCGTTTGGTTTCGAGCGCCGATTTCAAACGCAGAACTTGCTGTTGTGCTTCGTCTAGATCGGCACTGCTTTGGCCTGCAGACTAGGATAAACACGAAGAAGGAAAAGTTCGGATAAAGTAGCCGTAAATAAATTATCGGGAGAGAAAAACCCGCGCACATATGCATATTTTATGCTTCTTCACCACAGCTGTTAGTCTGAGTTACATATGATACCCAAAATTTGATAGACAGGAATGCTGCAGTTGTGCACGTTGAAGGAGTGTGGACTGCCTCTGTTGATGAAACGTGGCTCCCATACGCATGCCTCACGGTCTTATTCCTTCCGGTTTACACTGGATACGGGTTGTGTGAATGGAACTGTGGGTGGTGCAGTGCAAGCTACCCATGGTCCCTTAGCTGACACAAGCCTGTTGTGGCTGTGCTATGGAGGCCGTGGTGGTAGGCAAAACCGGAATAGGATAACGCCAACCATGATAGACAGCGAAGAATACGGTAAGCCAAAACATGTGGAAAGTTATGGGTAACACTGAGAGATCGTTACAAAAATCGTTCCAACAATGAAAAAAGCAAGAACACAGCGGCTGTGGGATGCATGAGGGACAGTTAACTACGAGCATCCAACGTTCAAGCTGGTTTGGATGTAATCAAGGTGTTTACGTGGGACTTGATGCATTAAGTGTTAGTGGTTAAAATCAGCCTCGAACAGCGAGAATGAAGCTCGAAGTATGCGGTCAATACGACGAAGATGCCATACCCGCCTCGATATACGAGGGAGCGACCGTCGTCATAAACAGAAACAGGCTTCAGCACATGCATTAAACAATACGTTACAATTGTCACTGATATCTCAACGACCAATCATCATAATCATCATTATACACGGTAGGTAGAGGTGGAAAATACCTCGGATACTGTGCCGCAATACATGGGAAAGGAAAAAAGGACACAATAGCGACACGCCAGCTGAGCCCCCAGTAACAGATGGACATGGTTCCGGAGACCTAGCAACAGGCTATTTGTTGTAAAAAGTTATATTAGGTCTCCGAAATGATACGGTGGTTGGAGTGAGAGGCTAATCGGGAGGGACAGGGACAACAAAAACGCCACTGAGGTGGGCTCCCAGACATATCAACAAGTGTATCCAGGCAAAGGTGTTCATTGTCTCTCGGTCCCAAATGGGAGTTAGTGCCGGCCACCCCCATCTGATGCTCCAGTGGATGGTAGCAATTCTGATACATAAAATGTCAAGCTACGTTCTAACAGTGTCTGATAGTTAGCCAAAGGGAGAATCAAAGCGTTGGTGTGATTTGCGAATGCGTCGGAGAGTAGACGCGTGGATGAGTGAAGACGGGCTAAGTGCAGTGCAATACGACCACGCGCTATTTATCAATCTGACAACCAGATGAGTGACCGATAACGACCAAAGTGGAGGTGATAGATCGTTGAATAGTTAAATTAAAGATAGCAAAAATGGTACGTAACAGCAGGTGATGCAAGAGGAAATGCAAGAAATTGATAAATTTGGAAAAGAAATGCTTAGGATGAATGCACATGGTGCATAAGAAAGCAGTTTACCGGTGAGAGGGTATGTGTACCTGTTTGATCGTTTGAACGTATTTGCCAACGAATGTGCCAACCACCAACCGGAGCTGACTGATGGCAGTCAAATGTTCATCGAGCTTGGCCGAGACAGTCTCCGTCCGATTTACGTCAGATGAGTCCAGGGAAATGAATTGGTGGCCATCCTCCGTAGTCGCTGTCACTTCGGAGGCAACTGAATGTTCAGGGGAGCTGTTGTGGACAGAAAGCGATACACCACAACGATCCGCCAGCTCTTGCATCTAAACGAGAAATGGATAGAGAAAAGTGCGCAAATGGGCTGCAATAGCATACAACGGACGAACGAAGCGAAGCGCTTACAGGTAGATATAGCCCAACCTAATATCGATAAACGTTTTTGAAGAGGCACAAAGCAAATAGGACTTGATAATGTTTACTTGCTTTATCGATTTCAGCAAGTAAGTTGGACAGAGTATTGAAAAACAACGCAAAGTACACTTTGCCGGCCGGTGGCCGAAAGAACAAGGCATTTGCCTTGCAACCCGGACGTCACCGGTTTGAGCCTGCTTAGGGGAACGGGCGACCATCGCAGTATCTTTAGCCCACGAGCGACTGGTGGTGGTCGAGTGTCAGCGAAGCGTCGGTACGGCGTACCGGCGCACTGCTGAGTTGTCCGTTTACACTTAGCGACCTTATGCGAAGGCCATCGTGAAGAAGTAAATGTTAGGTGATGCCTGTCTGCAATACTGTGGCCCTTTATTGGTTTCGTGATTAGTAGCACTTATTATGAAAAGGCTTCGTTCGAAAATTGCGCAATTTGAAGCTCCGGCATATTTTTAATGTTTCGTATGCAAATGGGCTGTTGGAATCTAACGGCTACAGCAACAGAGGATGTGTAAAAGTTTGGATATTGAACAGACTGAGAATATGTATCTTGAAGCACATCAGGCTGAAACTAGTCGCAGTTTTACAATAAGCAAACGTACGAACACAGTCAGACAAAACACGCGAGGTCGTTTGAGGGGAACGTGTGAACCCAAGGACCGGGCAGCGCAAAAGAAGTCTCGATCTCTTCAGCCCGAATGATTGTCACATGGCGACAGTGTCTGAGAGACCGTAAACAAATGCACAAATGTACAATCTCATCGTCATGTTAATAAATCCGGTGAAGGTGAAAAAATAATAGAAGTAGATGAGTTGACTGCCAACTGTACTGATTCAGTTGCCCATTTGTTCGCCGAGCTGCGAAATTCGTTTGCAAACGTTTCACCGCTATGCGAGGCGGTGCGCCGAGATGTGGAGTGTAGTCTCGCTGATTGAACGGTCGATCCGTGATCGGCGTGCATGTGAGTTTTCGAATGAGACGGCTTCCATCTGTGTCCCGTGATCTCTACCCATTTCCCCGTGGCGGAAGTCGTCGCTCGGGTTGTTCCTATTCAAGCGGCGTCTCATAATTTCTCTAAGTTCTCTTCGTCTGAGAGGTTGGTAAACTGGGTCAATCTTGATATGCATGTTGATCGAGTCTTTTGTTGAGAACCACACTTCCAGGAACTCCCTTGCTCTTCTTGTTTCACCTCGTGCCAAAACCTCTGTTTTGGCCCAATCAAAGCTGTGTTGTTTTTCATCCACGTGTGCTGAGACTAGCGATGATGCATAGTGTCTTTTGCATGCTCTTTCGTGCTCTTGTAATCGTGTTGATAATTTTCTACCCGTTTGGCAAACATAGTCCTTTTTGCAATTTCTACAACTTAGTCTATATACAACATTACTGAGCTCATGAGCTTCCAGTTTGTCTTCCGGATTGGACAGAGTTTTCCTCAATGTAACAGTTGGTTTTCAAACAAATTTCCCAACTCGACGAACAAATGAGCAACTGAATAACCAACCCGAGCTACCAGTTTTCCGAAACATTTTAACTGCACTGGTGACCTAACTCCCCGATAATCACGATGTTCCAAAAGTGAGAATATGCCATTATTAACGGTCAGATTGCGCGCCCTGAGATCAGGGCGTCGAAAGTCACGTCACCAACCAATACATTCAGTTTCTCTTCAGTCCATGCTTCGCCTAACTGGACCTAAACCACATCTCAATGGGCAGTAGACTGGCCCTCCACCCACATCACGCATGATCTCGTTAACATTGGGTCTCCTGCTGCCCCTTTCGCGCATCGAACGGAATGAATTACGATGGTTACCAACGGCAGCGGTCATTTCCATCTCCGATGGACGCTGCGCGGCCTCTCTTCCGGTCACCACGCAATTTCGCCCTGAGGCCTTTTCGAGTATTGTTGTGTTCGCTTACAGCCGGAATATGTCGGCGAGCATCCAAAAAGTTCCATAGACCGCATAGAGATCCGGTGTCTAACTTGGAAAACTGGATTTGACACATGAGGACATGGTTGCTGCTAATAATGTCCGGTAAATATGCGACCAGTGGCCCTCTAGTGTGTACAGAGTGCATTTACCCTGTCTGGACGCCAGTGTACTTTGATCCGCATTCAGAATCTCTGGCTTCGCCAGCTGGCATGTATATGTGTGCTCGAAGCGACGCCGCATGCGCCCACCGAAGCAAATTGCAAGGTCGACACAAACGAGTGCGTGGTCAGAGCCCACACTCGTGTTCCACATTGAGCGACAGTCTTGGACGCAGGCTCTCCAGCGGTAACTGATCGCGATGTGGTCGATTTGCGTCTATGGCTGGTTTAAGGCGGGTGGGCGCTATGTCACCCCTTTGCGAGTGCTGTCGGAAGTAGGGATACGCGAGGAATAGACGAACGTCTTCACACAGCCGCAGCAACCGCTCACCGTTATCAGTATGAGAGCCAACACCGTGTTGGTCGCCCAGATGAAGCTCAGCAGTGGACACTTTCCCAATTTGAGCGTTCAGATGGTCAGTCAGGATCACAGTATCGGTACTTATTGTGACGAAGGAGCTCGTTCAGTTGGCGATAGAATTCATCTTCCACTGAATCAGAGCTACAATTTGTGGGCGCGTAACCCGCAAGGACAAACAGGCACGGTTTGTCTACGCGCGACATCGAAGCACTGAAAAAGCCAGCCAAAACAAAATGGCAGAAAGCGATGGCACATATTATCCACATAACGGTCAATGTCATACACCGTTATCAATTTTGATAAACACGATACCTGTAAAAGTCAAATGGCTATGGGAAGCCGAAGCCTGTAATAGAAGAACAGGTCCCCAAATAAAACCTTAGGTTGACAATCGCACCATGTTATTCAGAAAGTACGTCACTCCCACAGCACAGCCAACTTTTTCAACAGATCATTTTCTCTTCATGTTATTCATAATTATACCTTTATCTCTTGCACAATACCAGAGGAAAATGTCACTAACCGAAGAGTAGCCATGGAGCAGAGCACTCCGTAGATAAGGCTAACGGCGTTTCTAACCTTTCGTGATGTGAGGATAAAGGACACGAGTTGGGGGGATCGACTACCTCTGACACAGAGTATTAAGCATGAGGAAACACGATACTCATAAGTTACACTAGAGTCAACTAACCTGCTTATTCGGCGTTTCCTGAATGGTTGAGCAAACGAAAGAGTAAATATCGAAAAGACACACAAGACCCCGATGAATTTCCCTGCAAAACAAATCCAGTTTCTTATTGGTGTCACAACTTGCTTCTTGGTTGGTGAGCACCGTGTTCTGTAATCTCTTAATTTCCTCTGTCCGTTCATCAAGTATAGTCTGCAGACAAAGTAATTCGTCCTTCAAACCTTTTTCTGTGGCAAGCTCAGGGCGATCGTTAAGCTTTTCACGTTCCTGATATCGTCGGAGATCATGATTCAAGCTGCTAATTTGACGAAGGGCCACCGAGTATCGATTCTCATATATCCTGAGTGCTTTACGTAGATTCTTAAAGGCCGGATGAGAGGCGATCGATGGCATATCGTTTTCGTCCAAATATGTTAGAGCTGTTACTAGGGAGTCTCCCGCAGTACCGTTAGGAAGAGAGTCGGGAGGGTCAAGAGTAAGATCCCGTTCCGATCCTTTGGTTTCGAATTCAGAGTCCGCCAACGACTTTACGGACATAATGGCGTCCAATTGAGCCAACAAACCATTGATGCGCTCTTGTTTATTTGAGACTTCACTAGTAGCAATTTCCAGAGACCTTTCGGTTTCCTCTAACTTACGCTCTAATTCATTCCGTTCGGCCTCAAGCTGGGCAAACTCGGCCTGAAATTTCGTAAATTCAGAAGACTTCAGTTCAGAGAGTAGATCGTTCGGAGATGAATGATCCGTAGAAATTCGTTTTGCATTGGGATGTACATCAGGCGGACAAGTCTCTTCTTTGGCATTGGCTAGAGAAGATAAACAGCAGGAAGGTGAAATGGGATATCCACAGAAAGATAAAAGGAGCAAAAAGCACACCGGCGGAATGTCGTTAGAGATAAGTCATAGTGTAGATGTACATCCGAGAACCAATGGTGGTTAGCGAGAGTGACAGTAATGCACAGATCAGTTGGAATAAGGGGTTCAAAACAGTTTACACTTGAACGCCATTTGAGTCTCGGCGGATTAAAAAATAACATGAGAAGCAAGCGTAAGCTGAGCATACCCGACAATGCTATATGCACCAAAGTACACGCTGTATGTCGATTAGCTTGCTGCGTAGATCAGCCGAGTGAATTTTATGCGACCCCAAAAGCAGACTCCAGAATCATCATCATCATACACGTTAGCTAGAGGTGGGGAACACCTCAGCTACTGTGCCGCAAATACATAGAAAAAAGGAGAAAAAAAAGCAACTGGTGCAAGCCGGCTGAGGTACCGGTAACGGATGGGCATCGCTCTGGTAAGCTACCAGCCGGATACTGTGCATCAAAAAATTGCTATGCAAAATTATATAAGGCTAGATAATGAGATCGTGGTTGGAGGGGGAGGCTAAGAGGGATGGGGTGGGACAAAGAAACTCTCAGCACGAACGCCACTGAGGTCGGCTCCTTGCCATGTCAGCAAGTGTGTCCAACCAAACGTGTTCATCGTCTTTCGGACCCCAACCAGGGAGCCGAGACGCTCCAACCGAGGCCAGCTCAGAAGTGAGGGACTTCATTCCTCTCGACCAAGTCATCGCTTGGCCACCCCTCCTCTTCTTCCATCCACACCCCCGGCGCGCAAACAACGCACGTCGCGGGAGTCGTTGGGCTGGCATGCGTAACACGTGGCCAAGCCATTGGAGCCTGGTGCGTGAAATAACGGTGCTGAGCGGTTCATTTTCTTTTCCTGTGCCGTAAACAAGGCGTCGAACACGCTCGTTGCTCACGCGGTGTTCCCTCCAGATGTGCGCTAAATTGCGAACTCCAGAATATTAAGAAACATGCAAGCGAACACCCCAGATGCCGCTGTCGTGGTACATATGTGGCACTTTCGACATAGCTTCGAGGGGATAGTGGACAGAAGTGCCAGTTATAAAGCGTAAAAACTAGCCTAGCACTGAGAAATAAGACATAAACATAAGAGACCACATCGCATCTTGCTGCGACTGATCGAGGGAAGCACGAATCCAGGAAAGCTAAGTACACTGAAGAAAGCGCATCTATACAGGAAATCGGGTACCAAGCATCAAGGGGAGCTGATGACTGGAATTAGTGGTGCGTCAACTCCGTCTTGTGACAATAGTTTGCATATAATGGGTAGAAATCACATACCAAAGTGTGTGGGGAAACGCGTTAGCCCATTCAGTGACGTTTGCATAACAACTAGATCAGATTCAAAGAAACTTATGCCATTTACGCAGTCGGTCACCAAACCGAATCTCTACCCCATAAGTAGAAGAGGGCGGGTGCTATTCACGATCTGTTCGACTATAGAATTAAAGAGATGTGACAATCATGAGGAATCACGGGGACACTTTACAATAGATTCTCACACCACCGTTGTAGTGTGGTAATGTTTAAGTGGATAGTTAAACGTAAAAATTGATCGGCGCACCCTAGAACAGGAGGATGTTAAATGTATCGGCTCCAATGGGGGGCAGTAAACCGCAGTAACATTATGGATGCGAGTAGCTTAGGAGCAAAGATGAAACTAACGCTGCGACGAGTCTCCTCGGATCTTTCAACCCTTTACGAAAATGGGAATGACGACGGACAGCCGCAAGAAACGGGACTATCTTTCTTGCGCAATACATTGCACAGCAGAGGAACGAGACCAGTCACTAGTGATCCGTCCCCGCTTTTGGCAACGAAGGGAAATCACAGGAGTCGGGCGTTTTGTCTTACTTCAACAGCAAGCAGAGATACACAGATGACCGAGTATGGTGGTTTCTCTTGACCTGAAAGCCGCCTACGACTCTGTCGATCGCGCTAGCCCGCAGAAAGAAGCTAAGTACGTTCGACTACCGACGCCTTTGCAGTTTGGCTCATATCTGGTGGGAACACCGTGTGAGTAATAAGCGTGTTCGCCACGTTGTTTATAGCACAGGAAGAAGGGAACCGCTCAGCACTTTTATATCACGCACCATGCTCCGATGGCTGGACCGTGTGTTGCGCATGCCAGCCCACCGACTCCTGCGAACTGTTATCGCCAGTCAGGGGTATGGATACAAAGGTGACCAAGCAATGACTTGGTACAGAAGAATGAAGGTCTTCACTTCGAAGTCGACCTCCGTTGGAGCCACTTGGCTTCCTGAATGGAGTCCAAAAGACGATGAACACGTTTGGTTGGAGAGACTAGTTGATATGGATAGGAGCAATGTCAGTTCATTCGTTTCCCTTTGGAGTCCTCCATCCTTTTTAAGACTGACATGCCTCAACGTGCACAGTTTGCTATAGATTGGCCAACAGGCAGCACGCGCTCGAACTCTCGAGACCCTCTCGATCGATATTTGCTGTTTATCGGAAAGCCGCCTGCAAGATTCGAGCTCCGTGCTTACTCTGCGACCTCCCACATGCGACACTGGCGGCACAGTCACATTACGCCTGTCTGGCGATAATGCATCTTCAAATGCGGGTCAAGCTGGCGTCGGCATTGTTTAGAGTCTCCTGGCTGAAGCTGCCCTGATCGATTGGTTCCCTGTCAACAACCGGATGTGCGCCGTTAGAGCAGCTGGTTCGTTCCAGGCTTCAAATTCGCGCAGGGACAAACGGTGAATGTCATTGCGGCTTACGCCCCCACAAACTGCAGCCCTGATGCGGTGAAGGATGATTTCAATCACCAACTTAACGATCTTCTTCGTTACAGAAGAAGCACGGATACTGTGGTGCTTGCTGGTGATCTAAATGCCCAAGTCGGAAAATTGTCCTCTGATGAGCTTCATCTGGGCGGCCAACATGGTGTAGGCTCCCGTAATGATAACGGTGAGCGGTTGCTACACCTGTGTGAAGCTGCTCGTCTCTTTCTCGCGAGCACTAACTTTCGACAAAGCACCCGCAGAAGAGTGACTTGGCGCCCACCAGTCTCGGGCCAGCCATGGACGCAAATCGATCACATCGCGATTAGTTGCCGCTGGAGAGGCTGTGTCCAAAACTGTCGCACAATTTGGAGCACCAGCGTGGACTCCGATCACGCTCTCGTGTGTGCCGACCTGCGGGTATGTTTCGACGGACGCCCACAACATCGCTCTGAGCGCATTCATACCAGCCAGCTGGCAAAGACGGGTGTTTTGAATGCGTATCAAACTACGACGGTATCTGGGCTGAGTAACCATGCACTAAACAGCGTAGAAGATCACTGGTCGCATATTCGCCAAAGGTTACCATCAGCAGGCATGTCTTCATGTAGCAAATCAAATTGGCAACCTAGAGTTTGGGCCACTAAAATTTTTTGGAACTTATAGATGCGCGCCGAAGTATTCCGATTGGAAGCGAATACAATGAGAGACGCAAAACTCTCAGAGGAAAACTGCGTGCTAGGGCTGAAGAGAGACCGCGAAGGCTGCTGGTCACAGAGTGCATGAGAAATGGAAAAAGCCGCTGCCGTTAGCAATCATGGTAAGTTATTCTGTAGGATAAGGGAAACGCGCAACAAGAGATCTGGCCATGGTGAGACAATCCGCAGCGAGAGTGGACAGCCGATCCACACATGGTTAAAACGCTTGGAGCGTTGGGCCAAACACTGCAAAGCAATTTAACCAATCAGAGTTATCGCTTCCTTTTTCGGGTATTGAACGCGCTTCTCTCTGGACCGTTTCCTTGGATCCGCCCTCACGCGCAGAAGTCGAATGTGGGATCAGACTGTTGTAATTGCATAAGGCCGGTGGTGCAGATAGAATTCCCCCAGCCCTCTTCAAATTCGGGGGACCAGCTCTTGTGGATGGTTTACACGAGTTGCTAATGGAACTTCGGGAGCAGGAGACTGTCTCGACAGACTGGAGCCACCCCGTCAAAGTCCCAATTTTCAAAGTAGGCTCCCTTTCGGAATGCGGCAACCATAAAGGGATCAGTCTGATCTCAATCGCCTTTAAATTGCTTGGCTCTGTCATTCTCCAAAAACTGACTGGCACCCTTGAAGCCAGATTCATGAAAAGCAAGCCGGATTTCGTCGAGGTCGGGGCTGCATCGACCACATCTTTACCTTGCGTCAATTGTTGGAGCACCGCCATGTTTATTGGCGACCCACCGTTGTCATGTTTCTTGATATAAAAGGTGTCCTCAACTCAGTCGATCGATGTGCCCTTTGGGACAGTCTCCTGAGAAAGGGTATGCCTGATAAATACGTAAACATTATCAAGGCGCTGTAGGCGCATAGTTCGGGTAGAATGAGGGTTTATGTCAAACTGTCGCCATCCTTCAGTATCACAGGCGGTGTGAGACAAGGTTGCTTGCTGTCATCTTTCCTATTTAACTTCGCAGTTGACGAAGTCGTGGAAACAGCATTCGCTGGATACTACCTAGGTGTGGAACTGCTTCCTGGTGAACGTGTTCTTGACTTGGAGTACGCGGAAGATATTGCCGTAGTCTGTGACAGCGCCCAAACGTGCCAGACTGCACTGCACCGATTAGCACTGGCTGTCAACCGTTTAAGCCTATTCCTTGCTAAATCGAAACATCATCATCATCAACAGCAGTACATCAGCCATTTGAACTGATGCTTCGCTGCCATACAACCATGAGGACCTATGAAATAAAGAATAGTAAGAGGGAGAGAAGGGGGACTTACCTGAAAACCTTAATGCCCTAAGCAAACATTCAGGGTCAAGGCGCCTACACCTTGTGTTAACAACATACCGTCACAAACAGCTGGCTGTCGTGCAAAGATAAGGCGGCATCGGCGAGACAGCTTCCTTGCGGCTTTCACTGCCACGCGTCATAATCAGCCATTATCCCGCAGATAACTCAGCACCAAACACACTTTAAACAGA